TACACACACACACACCCTTATAATATATTCGGCAGTTTGCTTTTTTAAGAATAAAAAAGCTTGATAACAGAATTGATTTGCACTGCTAAGATACGTTCTTGTGTATATCATCATTTACCATCAAGTTTAAGATAGAGTGAAGTATTATTTTTAAGTATGCTAAATAATAGCTCCTTCATTTTAACAGGACAAAAATAGAGAAAGAAAAGAAACAACAAGCTAAAGAAGCAGGGTTAATTAGGACTGAAATATCCCCAGCAGAGGTATGTGGGTAAATGATTCAAAAATACTTCCAACAGAGGTACTCAGTTTACTTTTAACCATTATGTAAATAGTTGCATATATCTCCAGCAGAGGTAAGTGATTTATTTTTGATGAATGTGATTTGTACCCATTTCCAGCAGGTTAAATGTTTCTGTTTAGATTATTGGGTAAATTGTTTGTAGATATCACTAGCAGAGGTAAGCAGTTTTCTTTAGATCAGTGTGTAAATATCTTATGACCAGCTAGGCCTTACTAGTATTAGAGATGCAAGAATTGCTCTTAATTACTGTTACTGTTTTAAACTGCAATTAAGCCCTATGATTGATACAGATGAAGGGTTTACTCTGAATACTGTTTCTGTCTTAAAATGCAGTTAGGCCTTACTAGTAATGCAGATGTAAGGTTTAGTCTCAGTACTGTTATTATTTTAAACTGCATTAAGGCCTTACTAGTGATATAGATGTAGGGTTTACCCTTACTACTGTTATTATTTTACACTGTAGTTAGGCATTACTAGTAATGTAGTCGTAGAGTTTATTGTCAGTATTGTTACAATTTTAAACTGCATTTAAGCATTACTAGTATTGTACATTTAGGATTTACTCTTGATACTTTTACCATTTTAAACTACAGTTACACTTTAATAGTAATGTAGATATATATAGTTTACTCTAGTGATGTTGCTATGTTAACTTGCAAAGCATTCTGTTTATTAGAGAATTAACTGTTAATTTGTTATTTATGTTGTAGGTAGCAGAAAACTTGGAGAAAGAAAGGCAGATGTTTCAACTTCAGATGTGTGAAGTAAGAAAGCAGATCTTGTGAATTTATTCTAGTCAGTTAACAACATTATCATAATCATTTTCTGGGTTTCAAAGATGCAGGGGAGCTTTGGAGGGGGAGGGGGAATAAAGATCTCCTAGCTATAAGTGACAATAGTGTCCTTTAAACAGTTAGAATTCAGTACTCGGTGGTGGGCCTTTGTATTACCCCTCCATTCTGGTGGAATTGTGAATGTCAGTATTTTTCTTTAAAATTTGACTACATGTTTGTAGGAATGTGTGGTATCTATTAATGTATTGCTAAGTTTTAGCAAATATATATCACTTAGCATACCACTGCCTGTTAGTTAATTTTAAGTTATAAAGGTACATATTAACTCTAAGCTTAATATATTGTACAGTGAGAGATTCCTTATCTTGAAAAATTTGTTTATTGTGGTCATTTTTATTGGATTGAATGATGAAAGGGTTACATGCAGCCATTGTTGGAGCCACGCTTGACTTCATATGTATTAAAAAATGGATCCATGATTGTTTAAAAATGTGGTGTTGGTCCAAGATATGGAAGCAGATGAAACTATCATGAGATAACTTTTAAGCATTAACAAGAAAGAACATTCTCTTTTGTAGGAACTTTAGAATATATTTCTGTTTCTTGATGAAAATATTGTACATTCCAAGCATCACATTAATAAAAAAAAAAAAAATGCTAATTGTTGGAATGTTGCGAATTATGATAGTGATTTCTTTATGTTCTGAACGTTTTGGCTTTTTAGATTATCATTGATGAGGTAAGCTTACAGTAACTTTGCTCAATGTTTATTTGTTATCCTTGTGATGATTTAGCTGAGAAAATTATAATATTTATGTAATTCTTTTCCAGAATCTGGAGTGTATTATCTAGGATTATATAAAAGATAATTTATAAAAAAATGAAAAAATGTGGCATACTTCTGTAATTTCTTCTGTGTACATCCAATCAGAATTAGCAGTGTTACATATAAACAAGTTGATATAAGATGTTAGTTAGTATGTTAATGTATGCTTTATGTTTGAGAACATAGGACTAAAGAACAAAAAAACTTAGTTCTAAAAATTTTTTAATATGTGATTATGTAATGTTCAGTAGCAGTAATAGTAAGCTTATGTTTTTCACCCTTTTTTAAAATAAGAATTTCGTAAGCACTTGTGTTGCATTATCTATACAAGATTTCCAATACGGTACATTACCTCTAATCACATAAATAACTATTCTCGTTCAGTGCTGCCCTCTATATGACAAAAAAAATTAACCTCTCACATTTGGAATTGATTGATTCAGATGTGTTTCGCATGCAAAGCATCATGCAACTACCCTCCACAAATAAGAGTGTGACATACTCTCTTGTCATATGTGACTCCCTCTATTCTGTTCTACTGAACTATCACTTCTCGTTTGGCAGTACTCATGTTCTAACATTTAGTTTGTTCACTCTTTGAATGTTTTATTTTAATTTTTTGCTGTATCTTTGTATTAATTTTTCTCAACAAGTTTACTCTTTATTATACAATAGTGATATTTGTAACTTGTCAAGTTATTCTGAAGTGGAATTATTTTTTTTATTTCTACCCAGTTATGGAATTTATTACTTCCTTACAAAAACATTTTCTTTGTTGCTGCCAACACATTTATGTTTGTTTATTCATTTTGCATTATGAATTCTACATTACTACTTCAGAGGTTATATGTTCTATTTGCAAATTTATACTGGCTTTAGATCATGGTACTCCATGGGAAGATTTTCAGCTTTGCTTCTTTGGAAGATTGATTGTCAAAGGAGATGATATTCATTGGGCCTCGCCTTGAGTTTGGGAGCCCACCACATTTTGATATACAGTCTGTCAACTTTGGAAAGATAACACGTCATGTTGTTATGGTTTTTGAATCTCTTTAATATTATTATCTGTAGTTATTTGAGTTTTATAATATACATTTCATTAGTTTAGTTGATACTCACTGTCCAGTTCAGGTTAGAAGTTATCTTAGTTGTATCCTTTCTCCTATACCACTGATACTGGATTTCTTTGTTGTTAGGATTACATATAATCCATCTGACTGGGATATCAAGCATTCATTTAACTATATTGTTTTTCTCCATACATCACATCTTATACATAGGTTATAGTTCATGCACACCTATTTCATTTTATAAATTACTGTTTATTTCATTTTCGTTATTATACTTATTGTTAGGTTAAGACATTTGTTTAAGAGCTTAGTGATATCCTTTTTCCTGCACTGTTTGATTAGGCTTAACAAGTGTCTGCTATTTTTGGTTTACTTTTAGTTCTACTTGAGGATTATCAAGAATTATGTTAAATAATTTGGTAGTTTAGGCTTAACAAGTGTCTGTTAATTTCTTACCATTAATTTTGTTTAATTTATACTTTATACATCTTACCCTTAATCTCGTTTTTGTGGGCCCCTGTGGGCTGGGGTCCACCCTACCTGCTCCCAATATTACTTGCCTTCATCCTATAATGGCTGAACCCATTTCAATATATTCCCTTTTCCTAATATTGTTTCTTTATGATCTGTTTGCCTCTTTTTTGAGATTGGGTGCTTGCAAGCCTCGCCATTTTACAGGCTTTAATTCTTTTTGCCTTAGCTTACCATCAGGCAGATTTTCTTTTTGGTTTTATGACCTTTGGATCTCTGTTGATCCTGTTTATTTTCTACCCTAGCTAGTTTTACTCTATCTACTCTCCTATGGGTAATGTTTACCTTCAACTTCCTTTCTTAGGCATTCCACTTATATTTAGGGATTTTTGGGATATCTCCTCCTCCTTCCCTCCACGTTGGGGGGGGGGCATCTTCCGTTCTTTCCCTCCACACGTGGCTTCTTTCCTTTTGGGAACTTCTTGGGTGGGACACTAATATTTGTTGCCTGTCCACTGCTAATAGGGACTTGTAGTCAGATCTTTTTCTTCACTGGTTCATTTTATTGGGGCTTCTCCTGTACATTTAGCATCATGTGGGGTATTTGCCATGCTATATTAAATTTTTTTGTTTCATTCCAAGATATTGTCATCCATATTCTCTTACAGGTCTGGCAATTTTCCATCCTTTACTTGTTCTACCTACAGGTTTTATCCATTTGTCTTGTATGCTCGATGCTGTTTGGGGTTCTGGATCAATCGGTTCCACCTCAATCACTTCATGGGTCTTCTCCATTTTCATATGTAGTCTTTGATCACATTTGGATTTGCTACTTCCACGTGTCGGGGTTATGCCCACATCACACATTCTTATTTTCCATATTTTAGGTTATTTCACCACGTGATTTGGTCCTAGTTTCGTTTGAACCATTTGAACTTGTCTGGTGTCATATGTCTTTTGTGAGATGGACTGCATTTTACCCGACTTTCACTTTTTTTTGGAAGTGATTTTACCTACACCATTCATTGGATTTATAGCTTTGGTTAGCTACATCCGAAGTGTAATCTTCACATACTCATATACTCCTTCCACAGTCAGCTCGGGTGGTTGGATTTTCCAATTGAATGTGTTTTTCCTGTTCCGTACTTCTCATTCTCATCTCTTTTGGGTGGTGTTTTTACACATCCCACTATCTGGACTATTCATTGATTTTCCTCTTAATTTTCTTCCTTCCCTCTTCTTCTATATGAGTTGATAGCTTTTCATATCCCCCACGATGTCAGTTTCCTGCTTCATTTTCCCTCATCTGAATTGTTTCTCATCTCCATTGGTTGGGGATGTGGTTCAATCTGTAGGAGTCTTCAGGACTATGGTCTCCAGGGGAATGGTCTTATTTCCTTCACACCCTGGCACTTCATCCAGTCCAGTGTGCTATTGTTTATTCTTTACATTTTGTCAGGATTTCACTAATTATGTTTTATTTCTATTATTTGACAGTGTTGGCTTCTATCACTTCCCAAGGGGATGTTCATTTTTTTCCTTTTGTGGTAGATAGTGGATCTCCCTTTTTGAAACCATGCACTGCACTTGCATCTCCAGGAGGGTCATGTTCCAGGTTTTTGTCCTTGTTGCTCATTGGCTTTTCAGTCCTAACATATTTTCTCCCAAGGAGTGACCTCTCGATTCTCCAGATTTTTGATGACTCTATACCTCTTGTGGGGTACTCCTCCACATGAAGTTCTTGAATTTTTTTATCAATTTCCAAGTAATTCCCTCTTTTGTTTTTGGCCTATAGTTCATCATCCCCTTGCTCTGGCTGTCGATATGTTCAGACAGGATTACATCCAGTTTCTCATGTTAGTTTTCTCTTTCCATCAATTTTTCCCATAATATTTGTCCATCCATGTCACTCTGGTTCAGGTCTTTCTAACTGATTTCCTGGCTGGCAAAAATCTGGGTTTCTCTGATGTTTCAGAACGGTTGTTTCCTTTGTTCTGGTTCATTTTTATTTATTTCCATTTCGTGGCTCATGTGTTATATTCCTCTCGACTTTTCTGTTTCTTACCATCCTCAACATTTTTTTTCAATTGTTTCTAGACAACCTTGTCAGTCCAGTCCATATCCAGTACACGCTTTGGGTTGCTTCATTGTTTTCAAAGTTTTTCCATTGAATCCATCTCCCACAATTTCTTTTCCTTACTCCACTGCTTTGTCTGTGAATTTTTTCTTCCTCTCTGATCCATTGGGTTTGGATTATGAATCGATTGGCCTTTTATTCCTTGTATCCTTCTTCCCATCATTGATTCCTTATGTCTTCACTCAAATCATGCACCTTCCCTTTTTTCCACGTACCCAAACTGTCATCCGTTGGAGGTACTTCATCTGTCGAGCACTAGGACTACACCTCATACGTTCATCTCCCATTCTTTACTTTGTGTAGCTGTTTCTTCCTTGTTGCCATCCTTCACTCTTTTGTAAGACTGTGACTGGGTAAGTTACCTTTTAGTATATATATATACTTCTTATTTTCGGGGGCATCTCCCTCTCTCTTTCTTTATAGATCCCACTCTCTGGTGAGTGGTGCCTTTCCAGGTATACATAAACTACTAAAAGCTGAAATTTAAAGCAATGATGACTTAACCATTATTATTCCATGGCCGTGCAATGGACATTGCGGAGGTGGGGTGTTCCACACCATTGCTTGTATGTTTATCTTCGCGATATGTTTGCCCGTCCCAGACTGTACTCACCTATGGACTACATTGGCAAAGCAGAAGGGGATAGCTGCCATGCCTTTTTATTAAGTAGATCGGTATGTTCTGCTTTTCAAAATAGGGTTTCATGGTCACCCATTGCACCATTCCAGGTGTTGTAGTTCCTTCAGACTCTCTATCATGCTTTCTCCCCCTTTCTTCTAGTGAAGTTTGAGAGTCCTTACCACTTTCCAATTCTAAGCCACTGGGGGGTTGGACCATGGAGGCATCCTTCTGAATGTGATACTGAAATATAAATAATATATATAAATGATTATAAAACCATTCAGTTTAGAGTAGATTGGTGGTGTAGATGACGAGATGTCCTATACTATGTAACATGGCAGTGAGCCATCAGTATTGCAGTTCACCCCTTCGATTGGGATCCCTCATCCTACCCCCACGTGGATGTCAGTTCCTGGTGGCATGAGTTATGGATGTTGTTGACTTGCCATGTGTGGTCCATCACACCCTAGCCACTCTACACCTGGGAGCACGTCATTTATTCTTACTCACTTGTATGTTTTCCAGGATTGAGTTTCATAACTTTAACATATAATATAGAGTTTTAAAAGTTTTTTAACTTATATTTTTAAACTTTGCAAGTAAATTATCGTGCAATTAATCAATGTTGTTGTCTTGTTTGATTAATTTTATTTAATGTAATATACTATCCTACCATAGTTCTTTCCCACTTGGATGTGCTCCTCTGATTTTCTGCCCATACATGCGACATCTTTCCACAGTAGGCAAAGAGTATACCTGGTTCAGAAGTGATGTGGTCTCCCACGTATGATCTGTATCGGAAGTTATGATTTTCCTATACTGAAAATGTATTTCTGATAGGTACTTATCTCCCTACTGAAAACTGGTGCTTCCATTTTCTTGAAGTGATAGTTCGGTAGAATTGAATTGAGAGAGTCACATGCATCAAGAGAGTATGTTGCACTCTAATTGGTGAAGAGTTGTCACATGATGATTTGCATGAGAGATGCATGGCAATCAGTCAATTCCAGATGTGGGAGATTCAAGGTTTGTGCCAAATTTCTTTTGAGTATAGAGGGCAGCACTAAACAAGAATGACTATTTATGTGAGAGGAAGTAAGTACCTATCAGAAATACACTTTCAATATAGAAAAATTACAACTTCTAGTAATTTTCATGACAAAAAGAAAACTTAAAGCATTCTTTCAAATGGATTGTTTTTTAATGCCATTACAGTTTAATTTTGTTAAAAACTTAACTTTCTACAGCCAGGAAGTTTAAAGATTTTCAGATTGTTTTATTGTGCCATTCAGAAAAATATAGAATATGAATTTCTCCTCAAGAACTTGTAAATTTTGTTTGAAATTTGTTCAGTATATAGTTTTAAGAACAAGTTTTCTACAGGCAAATACATATTTTCATTTAACTTTCTCTATTAAATCATTAAATATATTACCACCTGAAGGAGATGTGTTAACTTTACCTATCAAATCTTAAGTGAAGTTTACATAGGTTTTACACTCTTACGTCAAATGTTTAATAAGAACTTCCAAGATTGAAATACTTTAACTTGTTTTCCTTACAGTATCTCATTAAAGTAAATGAAATTAAAACCAAAAAGGGTGTGGAACTTCTGCAGCATTTGGTTGAATACTACCATGCACAAAATAAGTAAGTTTAAACTGATCATGGTTGGATTTTATACAGAAAGTAAGTAAGCTAAGTCTGATAATATTTGATTGATATAAAGTAAGTTTAGTCTGGTCATGGTTGTGTTGTACAAATTAATATCTAAATTCAGTATGATCATGACTGAATTCTGTAAATTAGTAAGGAATGACCACATTAAACATACCATGACCAAACTGAATTAATTTAATTTTATAGATTAATTCAATTGTTCATTGTTGAGTTGCATAGATTATTTCAGTTTGGTCATGGTATGTTTAATTTGGTCATAGTTGAGTTACATAAGATAATTCAGTTTGGTTGTAGTATGTTTAATGTGGTTATAGCTGAGTTATGAAAATTTAACCAGTTTGTTCATGGTATGTTTAATGTGGTCATAGTTGAGTTATATAAATTAATTCAGTTTGGTCATGGTATGTTTAATGTGGTCATAGTTGAGTTATATAAGATAATTCAGTTTGGTCATGGTATGTTTAATGTGGCCATAGTTGAGTTATATAAATGTATTCAGTTTGGTCATGGTATGTTTAATGTAGTCATAGTTGAGGTATATAAGATAATTCAGTTTGTTCATGGTATGTTTAATGTCTTCAGGGTTAAGTTGTATAAATTAATTCAGTTTGGTCATGGTATGTTTAATGTGGTCATAGTTGAGTTATATAAATTAATTCAGTTTGGTCATGCTATGTTTAATGTGGTCATAGTTGAGTTATATAAGATAATTTAGTTTGGTCATGGTATGTTTAATGTGGTCATAGTTGAGTTATATAAATTAATTCAGTTTGGTCATGGTATGTTTAATGTGGTCATAGTTGAGTTATATAAATTAATTCAGTTGGGTCATGGTATGTTTAATGTGGTCATAGTTGAGTTATATAAGATAATTTAGTTTGGTCATGGTATGTTTAATGTGGTCATAGTTGAGTTATATAAAATAATTTAGTTTGGTCATGG